ACGGAGGCTTTGATTCGCCTAAAATTGTGAGATCGTTTTAATTTAATCTTTTCCTTTTATTTAATGGTATCCGCATATTTGTTAATCGCTATGCTCATGGTTATTTAATTAGTTGATTGTCGTGGATCCGGATAATTAATTGATTTTATAACCTATTGTCATTTAAGGCATTAAATCCGTAATTGTTTAATTTTCCTGAAATAGTGACAACTGGCACGATTAGATTCGTGTCAGGGGGATACGCGGGCTAATCTGAAATAACCCTGGTAGTGTGTTATTTGGTTAGAATAGGGCTCCTCTAATACGTAAGGCAATTGGGAAATTAAATTCTACGGGCGTACCTAGGATTATTTCTCAATTAGAGCAATGATTAACGGGCATACCTTAATCACCGACACAGTAAGGAGGGGTTGACTGCCATCGCTTGTTTGGTAGTTATAACCTATTTATTCATAAATAATTGGAATCGCCTTTGTTTCAATGATCAATTAGGTGAACCATTGCTGAAGTTATTTCTTGGCTAGATCTTTAATTAATATTATTTTGATTTTAGTGAATTGCCAATTGACTCTTAGTTGCCTACTTTATTTCATTTTTAATTGTTTCCTTGTTTTAATTGATTTGGGCCTTTAATTATTGTTACTCTGAGTTCAGTGAATTATTGTTTAATTTTTAGTCAGTTATTTATTTTTATTTTCTTATTTGAATTTATTTGATTGTCATCATTCCTACAAAACCACCCCCTGTATTACTTTAAATTTCTTAAAAAGCAAATATACCCAGTCCCTGAGGATACGACCATACTTGCCCTGTCTACAAATTCATAATTATTTGTGAAAAATTACCATCCCATTCGGGTATATCGGATCAAACAAATTCTTCGGGAACAGGGTGAATCAAGTAACCCATTGCACACCTAGAGTCCCTGCTCCAGTATTTGGAAGTGAATTTTGGTCATTTTAATTGGCAATTAGGTTCAATTTTATTATTGTGCAGGTTTCGACAACCTGTCAATTTTTGGTGCCGTTGCCGTGGACTGGCCCTATTATTTTTTTCTTTTTAAATTCATTCTTTTTTTTTGTCCAAATTTTCTGGTTTTCTTCTAGTGTATGCCTCGATCTTCTCGTACAGGTGATTTGATTTTTGACCCAGAGGTAGAGAAGACCGCGCGTAGAACGAGAAAGGAAACCAGACAGCTCAGAGAGGAGCACTCCAGTGCTGCATCTCAGAGACCTGAGCCAGGAGTTGACCCAACAGATTCGTTTGGTGACACTTCAAGTGACTCCGACCAGAAGAAAGGAACCATGGCTAATGCACGAACATTAAGGGAGTTGGCTGCCCCTAATTTAAATCAGCAGGCTCTATGCATTACCTTCCACACCTTAAATGATAACACTCCATTTGAACTAAAATCTGGTCTGATTCAACTTTTACCCTTTTTTTCATGGTTTACCAGGTGAAGAGTCGTATAAGCATCTGCAGGAATTTGATGTCGTATGCAACAGTATGAAGCCCCCGGGAATCTCAGAAGAGCAAATAAAAATGCGGGCATTCCCTTTCTCATTGAAAGACTCTGCAAAGGACTGGTTATACTACCTGCCACCAGGCAGCATTACCACTTGGGATCAGTTGCAGAGAAAATATCTAGAGAAATATTTTCCTGCATCCAGGGCTGCAAATCTAAGGAAAGAAATTTGCGGGAATAAGCAGTACCCAGGGGAGTCACTCTATGAGTACTGCGAGTGATTCAAGAAGTTGTGCCATAAGTGCCCCCAGCACCAGATAAGCGAGCAATTGCTCATACAGTATTTTTATGAGGGGCTCCTTTTCAGAGACAGGAGCATAATTGATGCTGCAAGTGGAGGGGCACTGGTGAACAAAACCCCTCGGGAAGCAAGGGAGTTAATAGAGGGGATGGCAGAGAATTCACAACAATTCGGTACGAGGGAGGATGTCCCAATACGCAAGGTGAATGAGGTAGAGACATCCTCTATCCAGCAGCAGCTAACTGAATTGATCTCGTTTGTTAGGCAACTGGCTGTAGGAAATGCATCTCAGGCCAAGGCGTGCGGGACTTGCCCTGGTATGGGTCATTCAACAGATATGTGCCCAATGATTCAAGAAGAAAATGTGGAGCAAGTGAACATGGCTGGTTACGCGCCCGCGCCAAGGAATCAATATGACCCATATTCGAACACCTACAATCCTGGTTGGAGGGACCACCCCAACCTCAGTTATGGAGGGACCAAGCAATCCAATTTCGTACCAAATAAGCAACCAGGGTACCAGCAGCAATACCAACCCCGACCACCTCCGTCCCCGAGCTCTGGTCCATCTTTGGAGGAGATAATGAAACAGATGATGGCAACCATTACACAAAATCAGCAAAGGATGGAAGCAACCATTACGCAAAATCAGCAAAGGACGGACTCCGAAATGCAGGCAATAAGAAATCAGATGAGTCAAATGGCCACAAAAATCAACCGTTTGGAGTCCCAAGTAAATGGAAGTTGCCATCCCAACCTGAACTGAACCTGAAGAACGTAAGCGCAATGACTTTAAGGAGCGGAAAGGAAATTCAGGGGCTTGAACCTATGATCCCTAAGGATAAGGATGAGAAAAAGATCGAAAATGAACTTGAGAGGGAGGACAACAATGGTGCAGATCCAAAGGTACTTCCAGACCCAGCAATTACAGTTAAAACTAATCCCCCTCCATTTCCTTGCAGGTTGGAAAAATCGAAGAAGCAGGACAAGGAGAAAGAGATCCTGGAGGTGTTTCGCAAGGTAGAGATCAATATCCCCCTACTAGACGCCATCAAGCAAGTGCCGAAATATGCAAAATTTCTGAGGGACCTATGTGTCAATCGAAGGAGGCTGAGGGGAGATGAAAGAGTTATTGCTGGGGAGAATGTGTCAGCAGTTCTCCAAAGAAAGCTACCACCAAAGTGAGGGGATCCAGGTAGGTTTACTGTCCCATGCAAGATAGGTAATACTCTTATTAGAAATACCTTGCTGGACTTAGGAGCATCGATCAACGTAATACCAAAATATATGTATGCTTCTCTGAATCTCGGCCCATTAAAAGAAACCGAGATAATAATTTAATTAGCTGACCGACCAAATTGATAGGTTGCAATTTTACTATTTATTTTATTATTAATTTCCCCTATTACCTGACTTGATGTGAATTAATTGCTGGATTCTACTCATTTTTCTTAATTTGCACTTATTTCAGGGAGTAGAACGAAAATACGATAACAGGTGCCAATTTGATAGAAAATGAGTCCAGATGATAGAGCTTGTCCCGGGGGGTATTTCTGGAAAAGAAGATAGTACGCCTACTTTGGTAAATTCCGTGAGGGAAGGACGGCTGAGGGTTTTCGGTCTCCTGATGTTCCGCCGCAATTGAAAAAAAGAAAGCAGCAGTGAAGAGATTAGGAATCGAGTAGAGTTAGACATTGGAGAGGATAAAAGAAGAATGCAGAGAACTAGCACTATGGTTTTTTTCACCTTTTCCCTCCATCTTTGACTTTTCTCCTTTAGCTTGTAGCAGTGGAGTTCTCCTTACGAGACTCATGGCAGGAATTAGCAATCCTTAGCCTTTGACTTTTCTTCATGTTGGACGCAGCAAGCTTTTCTTTTCTTTTCTCGTATGTTGTCCGAAGTGAGGCAGAGAATCACTTCGCGTGACTTCGCTTTCTCCTTTTGATTGGAACGGATTGAACACACAAAAATTAATGACAATGGCCGCAGCTTTCTCTGCAATTTTGTATGGGTTTAGTTCATCAAACATGAACTAATTTTCCAACTCTAACTAAGGGACAACGGAGGCTTTGATTCGCCTAAAATTGTGAGATCGTTTTAATTTAATCTTTTCCTTTTATTTAATGGTATCCGCATATTTGTTAATCGCTATGCTCATGGTTATTTAATTAGTTGATTGTCGTGGATCCGGATAATTAATTGATTTTGTAACCTATTGTCATTTAAGGCATTAAATCCGTAATTGTTTAATTTTCCTGAAATAGTGACAACTGGCACAATTAGATTCGTGTCAGGGGGATACGCGGGCTAATCTAAAATAACCCTGGTAGTGTGTTATTTGGTTAGAATAGGGCTTCTCTAATACGTAAGGCAATTGGGGAATTAAATTCTACGGGCGTACTTAGGATTATTTCTCAATTAGAGCAGTGATTAACGGACGTACCTTAATCACCGACACAGTAAGGAGGGGTTGACTGTCATCGCTTGTTTGGTAGTTATAACCTATTTATTCATAAATAATTGGAATCGCCTTTGTTTCAATGATCAATTAGGTGAACCATTGCTGAATTATTTCTTGGCTAGATCTTTAATTAATATTATTTTGATTTTAGTGAATTGCCAATTGACTCTTAGTTGCCTACTTTATTTAATTTTTAATTGTTTTCTTGTTTTAATTGATTTGGGCCTTTAATTATTGTTACTCTGAGTTCAGTGAATTATTGTTTAATTTTTAGTCAGTTATTTATTTTTATTTTCTTATTTGAATTTATTTGATTGTCATCATTCCTACAAAACCACCCCCTGTATTACTTTAAATTTCTTAAAAAGCAAATATACCCAATCACTGAGGATACGACCATACTTGCCCTGTCTACAAATTCATAATTATTTGTGAAAAATTACCATCCCATTCCGGTATATCGGATCAAACAAATTCTTCGGGAACAGGGTGAATCAAGTAACCCATTGCACACTTAGAGTCCCTGCTCCAGTATTTGGAAGTGGATTTTGGTCATTTTAACTGGCAATTAGGTTCAATTTTATTATTGTGCAGGTTTCGACAACCTGTCAATTTTTGGCGCCGTTGCCGTGGACTGGCCCTATTATTTTTTTCTTTTTAAATTCATTCTTTTTTTTTGTCCTAATTTTCTGATTTTCTTCTAGTGTATGCCTCGATCTTCTCGTACAGGTGATTTGATTTTTGACCCTGAGGTAGAGAAGATCACGCGTAGAATGAGAAAGGAAACCAGACAGCTCAGAGAGGAGCACTCCAGTACTGCATCTCAGAGACCTGAGCCAGGAGTTGACCCAACAGATTCGTTTGGTGACACTTCAAGTGACTCCGACCAGAAGGAAGGAACCATGGCTAATGCACGAACATTAAGGGAGTTGGCTGCCCCTAATTTAAATCAGCAGGCTCTATGCATTACCTTCCACACCTTAAATGATAACACTCCATTTGAACTAAAATCTGGTCTGATTCAGCTTTTACCCTTTTTTCATGGTTTACCAGGTGAAGAGCCGTATAAGCATCTGCAGGAATTTGATGTCGTATGCAACAGTATGAAGCCCCCGGGAATCTCAGAAGAGCAAATAAAAATGCGGGCATTCCCTTTCTCATTGAAAGACTCTGCAAATGACTGGTTATACTACCTGCCACCAGGCAGCATTACCACTTGGGATCAGTTGCAGAGAAAATATCTAGAGAAATATTTTCTTGCATTCAGGGCTGCAAATCTAAGGAAAGAAATTTGCGGGATTAAGCAGTACCCAGGGGAGTCGCTCTATGAGTACTGCGAGCGATTCAAGAAGTTGTGCCATAAGTGCCCCCAGCACCAGATAAGCGAGCAATTGCTCATACAGTATTTTTATGAGAGGCTCCTTTTCAGAGACAGGAGCATAATTGATACTGCAAGTGGAGGGGCACTGGTGAACAAAACCCCTCGGGAAGCAAGGGAGTTAATAGAGGGGATGGCAGAGAATTCACAACAATTCGGTACGAGGGAGGATGTCCCAATACGCAAGGTGAATGAGGTAGAGACATCCTCTATCCAGCAGCAGCTAACTGAGTTGACCTCGTTTGTTAGGCAACTGGCTGTAGGAAATGCATCTCAGGCCAAGGCGTGCGGGACTTGCCCTGGTATGGGTCATTCAACAGATATGTGCCCAATGATTCAAGAAGAAAATTTGGAGCAAGTGAACATGGCTGGTTACGCGCCCGCGCCAAGGAATCAATATGACCCATATTCGAACACCTACAATCCTGGTTGGAGGGACCACCCCAACCTCAGTTATGGAGGGACCAAGCAGTCCAATTTCGTAACAAATAAGCCACCAGGGTACCAGCAGCAATACCAACCCCGACCACCTCCGTCCCCGAGTTCTGGTCCATCTTTGGAGGAGATGATGAAACAGATGATGGCAACCATTACACAAAATCAGCAAAGGATGAAAGCAACCATTACGGAAAATCAGCAAAGGACGGACTCCGAAATGCAGGCAATAAGAAATTAGATGAGTCAAATGGCCACAAAAATCAACCGTTTGGAGTCCCAAGTAAATGGAAGTTGCCATCCCAACCTGAACTGAACCTGAAGAACGTAAGCGCAATGACTTTAAGGAGCGGAAAGGAAATTCAGGGGTCTGAACCTATGATCCCTAAGGATAAGGATGAGGAAAAAATCGAAAATGAACTTGAGAGGGAGGACAACAATGGTGTAGATCCAAAGGTACTTTCAGACCCAGTAATTACAGTTAAAACTAATCCCCCTTCATTTCCTTGCAGTTGGAAAAATCGAAGAAGCAGGACAAGGAGAAAGAGATCCTGGAGGTGTTTCGCAAGGTAGAGATCAATATCCCCCTACTAGACGCCACCAAGCAAGTGCCGTGTGAGAACCCGTAAAACCCTAATTATTTTTCCTAGGGTTTTAGTTCCCTTAATTGCTTAAATTTTGCATTTTCTGGTTTAGAAATATTTTTCTGGTAGATTTTATGCGTAATTATAGTTTTAAGATGATTTTTCTAGTATTGGAGAGTTTTTAGAAAATTAAGAGTAAATAGTGGACGTGGGACCCGCTAGTGCGAAAAGTTCAGAAAAATTCGGCCAATAAGGTTAAGTTTCGGATACTGTGTAAAATTTATCGGGTGTTAAGAGATAAGTAGAATGTGTGAAGTGATTGATGTGAGAGGGAAAAAGAAAGATAAGAATGCATTTAATGAGGTGACAAGTGTCACCTTCTCATTGGTTGGACTTTAAGAATTACTATTCACTTTCTTGACTTTTTTTGACCAAAGGATTAAATATCAAAAAAATGCACAAAATTCACCACTTTCTTCTCCATGGTGCCCGGATCTCCCTAGCTCAAGAAGGAAGGAATTTCTTCAACTCTCAAGCTTCCATCTCACTCAATCTTCCACAAACAAGAGCTTAGACTAGATTTCACTCCATAAAAACCTTTCTTCTAGTGCTAATAAGTGTATTAGTGAAGTTGATTTGAAGAGCTAAGGTGTCCACAATCCCTATGTCTCTTGATTTCTTGGTAAGTGATGCTTGAACACCCTACTACATCTAATGATGCTTATGTTTGGCTTAGAAGTGGCTAAAGTGGTGGATTATATGATTTATTTCTTGGTTTGGCTTGATTTGGTGAAGTTTTTAATTTTATGATGAATTTTCTGGTTTAATATGAAATGGATGTTGTAGCCATCTTTGATGATTGGCAATGGACTATAATGACTCTAGTAGGTGTGAATTGTGGATAAATGCAACCAATTTTTGATTTGAAGTGAATTGTGAAAAGTTAGGGTTCATAATTCCCTAATTCTGTCCGGTTTTAGATCATAGGGTTAGAGGCCGAATTGGACTTTGCTCAAAACATGAAAGTTGTAGGTATTGATGTGTTTGAGGTGCCTGCAAAATTTCAGGTCATTTGGATTAGTGTAGAGTGAGTTATGTCGGAATTACTGTAGCTGTTCTGCTTTGGTCAGAATGCTAAAACTGCGTTGGTATTTGGCTATTTTGACTGGAATTGGTTTGGATTTTGAAGTTGGTGTCTTCTGATGAAATGTAGCTGGATGTCTTAGCTAAGATATGCCTTTGGAATGTCGGCATTTGGACTTGTATAGACTGAGTTATAGTAATTACAGTTTTGTGTGATTTGCAAAACCTGTTTTGGTCATTCTGGTTTAGTATTTGGCATTTTTGACCTAGTTAAGCTAGGAACTGGATTGAGTGACCTTCTACATTGTTGTAGCCCTGTTTCATAGCTTCGAAACGGTGGGTCTTACACCCCCATCCGATAATCGTAGTGAAATTGACGCCATTACCGCAAAGTAAGAACAAAACAGTTTTATTTTCAGGGCCAAGGCTAAAGCCATTGTTTGAATTTCTGGTTTGCTATAATGCTTGTATATGCTTATGAAACCCTATTGGGGTTGTGATTGGCATTGCTTTATGACTCGTTATTGAGTCTCATTGTACTTGCTTATGTGTTCTAGGGCGTGACGGTGGTTCACGACATTCCCCTGACGGAAGTGCATGACATAGCACTTAATTGCTTAGTGAGTATACTACTCACTTACTTGTTATAATGTGGCTTTGTTCTATGTGTATTTGATGCCTTGAAGGCTTAATTGGTTATTGGAAGTGGTTGAGGTGAGGGTGTACTTGACCGCTCTCACCCCTTGTGATTCCATTCATGGCTATTAATTGTTTTACTGAAATACTGCACTGGTTATATGAGATACTGCATTCCATTCATGGAAACTGATTTGGTGTCGTTTGGACGAGTATCCAACGGCTTTACTGTATCACTGAGCTCAACCCCGTTTGGTAGTCAATTGGATCGAGCCGGCGAGGGCTTGGTCGTGAAAATTGTCATGCCACGGGGACTGTACTGGGGAACCTTGTGGTAATGAGACCCTTGGTTCCGGTATACTCGAGTATTACCAAAAGCTACTGAATTGGAGTGCGGGCCCGGTTGGGGTATGTTGGGTGGAAAGAATGGAAGTGAGGTCTACGGTTTGGTACTCTTAACATTGACGGAGGGTCAATGAGGTTGGATCAAGATTGCAAGCGTGGAAATGGGCTCTTGAGAGCCGACCGTATCCTTTCACTGATTTGCTTTACTTCGAAATTGCATACTTGAATTGAATGGTTATGCTTATGTGATCTTAACTGTTATTGTGGTAGTTGCTCACTGGGCTTTAGCTCATTCCGTGTTATTTGTTTTCCTTACATGGATATAATTACTTTTGGGAATGGATTGGATAGTTAATTGCCAAGTTGAGCATGTAAATGTCTTTTGTATAGCTCTTGAAACGAAACCCTAATTGTGTAACGGGTTCATTTCCTTTTGATAGGCAAACCGAATATGTACTTCCTTAATGAATGGTTTTGGCCTGCCACTATGGTTGTAAATGTTGAAATTCAATGTATATTTATGTTTGGATGATGTTTGGTTGGATTTCGGAGTGACACGACTTTCAAACGGAAAAGAAAAAAAATTTGGCGAAGATGAACAGTGCTGAATCCGGCCAGGAATCCGGCCAGAAACTGGCCGGATTGAAGGCCGGATTGCTTGGAAAAAAAAAAGAAATCCGGCCAGACAATCCGGCCAGAATCTTGGTCGGATTGCCGGCCGGATTGAGTGGGTTTTTGAAAAAAAAAATTGAGTTGATCTCGGCCTTGTATCCGGCCGAAAATCCGTCCAGATTCCGGCCGGATTCTGACGTGTCCTGCACTATTCATTCCGGCTTCGATTTTCATTTTTTTTATTTAGTGATTTTGACTTGTTTTCGCGCTTTGGTATGTTTCGGAACGTAATAGAACGACGTAAACTGTACCGTTAGTCCTGGCGAGAGTTGGGCAGGCAGTCCGCTAACCCTGGTTCGCCTTAGGGGAAGGTGGGGCTGTTACATGCCGAAATATGCAAAATTTCTGAGGGACCTATGTGTCAATCGAAACAGGCTGAGGGGAGATGAAAGAGTTATTGTTGAGGAGAATGTGTCAGCAGTTCTCCAAAGAAAATTACCACCAAAGTGTGGGGATCCAGGTAGGTTTACTGTCCCATGCAAGATAGGTAATATTCTGATTAGAAATACCTTGCTGGACTTAGGAGCATCGATCAACGTAATGCCAAAATATATGCATGCTTCTCTGAATCTCGGCCCATTAAAAGAAACCGAGATAATTAACTGACCGAACAAATTGATAGGTTGCAATTTTACTATTTATTTTATTATTAATTTCCCCTATTACCTGACTTGATGTGAATTAATTGCTGGACTCTACTCATTTTTCTTAATTTGCACTTATTTCAGGGAGTAGAACGAAAATACGATAACAGATGCCAATTTGATAGAAAATGAGTCCAGATGATAGAGCTTGTCCCGGGGTATTTCTGGAAAAGAATATAGTACGCCTACTTTGGTAAATTCCGTGAGGGAAGGACGGCTGAGGGTTTTCGGTCTCCTGATGTGCCGCCGCAATTGAGAAAAAGAAAGCTGCAGTGAAGAGATTAGGAATCGAGTAGAGTTAGACATTGGAAAGGATAAAAGAAGAATGCAGAGAACTAGCAGTATGGTTTTTTTCACCTTTTTCCCTCCATCTTTGACTTTTCTCCTTTAGCTTGTAGCAGTGGAGTTCTCTTTACGAGACTCATGGCAGGCATTAGGAATCCTTAGCCTTTGACTTTTCTTCATGTTGGACGCAGCAAGCTTTCTTTTCTTTTCTCGTATGTTGTCCGAAGTGAGGCAGATAATCACTTCGCGTGACTTCGCTTTCTCCTTTTGATTGGAACGGATTGAACTCTCAAAAATTAATGACAATGGCCGCAGCTTTCTCTGCAATTTTGTATGGGTTTAGTTCATCAAACATGAACTAATTTTCCAACTCTAGCTAAGGGACAACGGAGGCTTTGATTCGCCTAAAATTGTGAGATCATTTTAATTTAATCTTTTCCTTTTATTTATTGGTATCCGCATATTTGTTGATCGCTATGCTCATGGTTATTTAATTAGTGGATTGTCGTGGATCCGGATAATTAATTGATTTGGTAACCTATTGTCATTTAAGGCATTAAATCCGTAATTGTTTGGTTAGAATAGGGCTCGTCTAATACGTAAGGCAATTGGGGAATTAAATTCTACGGGCGTACCTAGAATTATTTCTCAATTAGAGCAATTATTAACGGGCGTACCTTAATCAACGACACAGTAAGGAGGGGTTGACTGCCATCGCTTGTTTGGTAGTTATAACCTATTTATTCATAAATAATTGGAATCGCCTTTGTTTCAATGATCAATTAGGTGAACCATTGCTGAAGTTATTTCTTGGCTAGATCTTTAATTAATATTATTTTGATTTTAGTGAATTGCCAATTGACTCTTAGTTGCCTACTTTATTTCATTTTTAATTGTTTCCTTGTTTTAATTGATTTGGGCCTTTAATTATTGTTACTCTGAGTTCAGTGAATTATTGTTTAATTTTTAGTCAGTTATTTATTTTTATTTTC